AGCCAGCCATAGCCATTTTGTTGGCCTCTTGCAAATCTATAAGATTCTCATTTATCGTTATACCTCTGTGAACTTGACAATTGTTAGACTGGTTAATGGTTAATTACTGATGTAACTAGTTAAAATGTTGCACTGTAACTAATATGCTCTGCTCACTGCTATGCCAGTGTTTTTTTTTTTTTTAAAAAACCTTCCTGTCTGTATCTATCTTTCATTGATTCTTTTAAGCTCTAAAATCTTCATTTAAGCCTCTTTTAAAAGAACTTTTAAAACTTTTTGAGAAAAGGATCATCCTGTTTTCTTTAGCTGGCTTTTGTACAAAACTTAGCTCTTTGGACTCCTGTGCAGTCTGGTGTTAAGCATCATAAGGTGATTAGGGTATGTTTGGTGTGCTCTATGGCTGTCGTGTCTAAGCAAACAGTTAATGGTTTGTGATATGGTGTAGGTAGCAATGGATTGCTCCTGGCACCTTTGTTGAGCTCACCACATATACCATTTTTTAGTAATGCATAGAGATCTATAACCACATAAACCATTTTGTTAGCAATGCGTGGAGAGAAGCACATAACATCTAGAGATTGATGGATCGTAAAATAGTTATAAATGTAGAAATAATATAAAATCTGAAACAGTCTTGACTCATCATTTTGAAAATGTTCAAACTTGGAAAAAAAATCACCATACTGAACATAGGCATCCATATACTACTTGTGGCCTCACAGAGACTGCAAATGCACTTGTAGTGTAGATGGAGCACATATAAATCAAACTCTGTAATTGGTATCAGCTTGATTTTATGTAAAATGTAAGGATTTAGCATATTGGGGACAACATAAAAGGAGAGGTGGGCTACTGGACCTCGTGCTAACAAATAGAGAGGGACTTATAGGAGATGTGAAGGTCGGGGGCAGCCTCGGCTATAGTGACCATGAGTTGGTGAAGTTCAGGATCCAACGAGGAGGAGGCAGGGCTGTAAGTAGCCTTGTGACGATGGACTTCAGGAGGGCCAACTTTAGCCTCTTCAGAGACCTCCTCGGTAGAATCCCATGGACTAGTGCTCTAGAAGGAAGGGGGGCCCAAGAGAGCTGGGTAGTTTTCAAGCGGCACTTCCTCCACTCCCAGCAACAGTGCATCCCTGTGTGTAAGAAGTCAGGCAGAGGGGGCAGGAGACCTGCGTGGATGAGCAAGGAGCTTGTGGCAATGCTCAAGCAGAAGGTGGTATACAGAATGTGGAAAAAAGGACAGGTCCCCTGGGAGAAATACAGGAACGTAGTTAGGAAATGCAGAGATGTGACAAGGAAAGCTAAGGCACGTTTGGAAGGCAAGCTGGCAAGGGATGTTAAAAATAACAAGAAAAACTTCTTCAAATATATTAACAGCAAAAGGAAGATCAGGGAAAACGTGGGTCCACTGG